GGGCAAAAATGTCAGATCTGGGGCGGAGGTTCCCTGTAGGCCCTACAGCTCCTCGGACAGGCCTGGCTCCAAAGGTCCAGACAGGGCCCGATCCGGGCCCGATGGATGGCATATTTGGAGATACTTTGGGGGAATGAACATCCATTAACATCCATTAACCAGCTTTGTTATTTTGGTGTTCATCTAAAAAACAAGGTTTTGACCCAAAGCCAACACGTATTCAAGACGTATTCATATGTCTGATCATCGCATTGAAGGCGCTTGCTCTTGACGAAACAGCTGGGAGTGCTCTGGCTCATGACCAACTCATTCCAAAACTACACCACACTGGCAATGTCATCACATAAGTGAAACCTCGATCCTATTCCTTTTTTACGTGCTTCAGATTCAGAAGTTGGATGAAGAGTAGATGTACATCGAAAATAACAAGGTCGTATTAGAATGTATTACAGTAGGCTGTTGAATGTAGATCTAGTCAAGTCTGACCCACAGCTACCTTCCCAAACTCCCTTACCATTTCAGGAATTCGATCGTTGTTCCTGATCGACTGGAAGTTCCGATCCTGTCATCATGTCACCAACAAGTCCATGCCATGATACTTCGCGAAGCTGTGGGGAGGATTGACCACACCTTTGATCACCTAAACAGGATACGGAGGTGTCCCATTTAGATGGATCGTCCATGAAATAAACATAAATAAACCATCCATACAACTATGACTATGGAAACCCCCATAGCCATAGATACCAGGCATCCACGCGCGTCTGCAACGGAAGCCCAGCTGGTTCGCCTGGTTCACCACTTGGGGGACATCCTACATGGTGTTTTTTTTTCATTTGTAGGGAGCTGAAATGTAAAGGAATATCAACAATATTACTATATGATTAAGGAACACCAATATTGAGAATCTCACGTATGTATATATATATCATACGATATACAATACTGATAATCTCGAGTACCGGTTTGCTTTCACGGTTGCTGGCTGTAACAACACAATTGTCCCGTTCGCCCATCGCCAACCCCACACTCAAAATCCAGCATGTAAATGAGGAAACCCATGGGAGTCTATCGTCCCAACATTTCTGCCCTTTCATAGCAGTTCTGCACCTTCATCGTTGCTTGGCGTATTCGTCCTGACCCAAAATGGCCAAGTCAGTGTTGCATTCCCAGTGGTGAGTTGATTTGGGATCAGCCGTCGGACCGCTCAGGCAGCATACCGTAGCCATAATTGCTCGAAAGATCTTCCAGAAGTATAGAACTCAATGGATTTATATAATAGTCTGGATCTGTGTTTTCATCCGCTTTTGAACGTAAGGAAGATAGCCCTATGGTCCTCAAGCCATGTGATCACCTAACAAGTGTCCGGGGTCATTGGCTCGTGACCCTTAAGCGTGCAGTTTCCATTGCCTGTGGAAGAAGTCCCTTCTGTCATTGGCCTCGGCGTCAATTTCCCTCCAAAACAACTATCGGTATCCAATGTTTGTTTTTTATATTTTGAAGACTTTGTTGAAGGCCCAAAAGCGCTAAAATAAACCAAGGCCATTGTTCCAAACAACATCATTTCAGCATATCGAAGCATATTCCATCGCTTGAGGGATTGGATTTGCAGGATGCCACCTCAAACAGTGAATTTCCATTTCCATTGCAGCGTCTGCGTGCATGTTTGCGGCCCTATTGGCTTCTGAGGCTGGCAGTTTCTGATCCATTGCAATTGAGAACAGCATGAATCACAAGTCTGACACGACACGGTTTCGATTTTTTGCCAAGGCATTTGTATCTCTGGCAATAGGGGGATGTATCTCTGGCAATAGGGGGAGACAAGTAGGAGACAAGTGGGAGACGAGTGGTAAAACACATAAAACGATTGTGAAACATGATTTTATCTGGGGACGACAAGAAGACACAAAGGGAGGAAAGAAAAAATACATGCGCGAAACAAAAATAAAATCATTATGAAACTGGAACAGGACACCGCCACTAAGGCTTCCACAGTTGCATTCCAGAGTTCGTCGCCCTTGGCATATTGGAGTTGGGCATTGCTTTCACTATGGGTGTGGTGTTTTGGAAAGTTTACAATTCTACGTTGAATAACCAGGTTTGGCTCATGCTGGCCTTGTATATTTCAATTGTTGGTGCGTTTTTTTGCTAACCTAAATTTGTTCGTCCTGGTGTGCGGAGTGCCCTTCAGCTGTGCTCTGCTTGCGAGCAGAAATCTGATTTGACATGATTTAGCCAAAGAAATTGGATTTTACTACATATTTGCTCATAGGAATAGGATTGATAAATGGTCCGCCATCTGCCCTGCCTCAGACGAAGATCGACTGGAACCAGAAGCAGATGTCAAAGTATCCCTTCCCTGGTCCTGTCAGAACTCCACAAGGCGCCTCCATCCGAGACTCAGGAGGAGCCAGGGGCATTGGTGGCAGCTCCTCAAGAGGATTGGAAACCACAAATCTCACTAGATGCTGATGGACATGGCCAAAATCTTCAACTCTTCTACTCGTCACTAACCTACTGACCTGCCCTGGTGTGAGCACCTCGGACTCATCATCTAAGATTGTCATGCGTCTATCTATCTATCTGTCTATCTGTCTACCTGTCTATCTGTGGCGCAGTGTCATTCAGTGTAATGTAGTGTAGTGTAATGTAGTGTAGTGTAGTGAAGTGTAGTGGAAGGTAGTGTAATGTAGTGTAGTGTAATGTAGTGTAGTGGAGTGTAGTGGAATGTAGTTGTGTAGTTGTAGCTGTAGTTGTAGTGTAGTGGAGTGTAGTGTAGTGTAGTTGTAGTTGTAGTGTAGTGGAGTGTAGTGTAGTGTAATGTAGTGAAGTGTAGTGGAAGGTAGTGTAGTGTAGTGTAATGTAATGTAGTGTATAGTGTAATGTAGTGTAGTGTAGTGTAATGTAATTTAGTGTAGTGGAGTGTAGTTGTGTAGTTGTGTAGTTGTAGTTGTAGTGTAGTGGAGTGTCGTGTAGTGTAATGTACGAGTAATGTAGTGTAGTGTAGTGTAGTGTAGTGTAGTGTAATTTAGCGTAGTGGAGTGTAGTGGAGTGTAGTTGTGTAGTTGTAGTTATAGTTGTAGTTGTAGTGTAGTGTAATGTAGTGTAGTGTAGTGGAAGGTAGTGTAGTGTAATGTAGTGTAGTGTAGTGTATAGTGTAATGTGGTGAAGTGTAGTGTAATTTAGTGTAGTGGAGTGTAGTGGAGTGTAGTGGAGTGTAGTTGTGTAATTAGTTGTAGTTGTAGTTGTAATGTAGTGGAGTGTAGTGTAGTGTAATGTAGTGAAGTGTAGTGGAAGGTAGTGTAGTGTAGTGTAATGTAGTGTAGTGTAATGTAATGTAGTGTAGTGTAGTGCAATTGAGTGTAAGTGAGTGCAGTGTAGTGTAGTGGAGCGCAGTGTAGTGAAGGTGTTGTTGTAGTTGTAGTGTAGTGTATTGGAGTGTAGTGTGGTGTAGTGGTGGTTGTAGTTGAAAATGGCACAAAACCCTCATGTTTTGCTCACTTTTCACAAGGTGCACAATCCCTTTCGCCTGCCACGCGAAACGACATCTGAACCTCCAAAAGTGGTCCGAACCCCTAGTGTTTTTAACATTTTGACTTCGAAACGTGCTTCGCGCCACAACGGCGTGCACTTTTCCGACATCTCAACTTCCAAAAGTGGTCCGAGCATGGTGTGTTTTGTACATTTTTACTTCGAAACGTGCTTCGCGCCACAACAGCGTGCACTTTTTCGACATCTCAACTTCCAAAAGTGGTCCGAGCATGGTGTGTTTTGTACATTTTGACTTGGAAACGTGCTTCGCGCCACAACGGCGTGCAATTTTTCATCTCTCATCTGACCAGCTGGCTCCGCACCCGCCGCTTTAGCGAGCCTACTTGTCGACCCTCCTTGGGCACAAATCATTGGAAAAACGCAGTGTTTCGCGACTTTCCTACCTTTTCGCGCATCTGCATCTTCTTTCTTCTGACTCTTTCTCTTCTCTGATCTTCTCTCTTCTGATCTTTCTCTTCTCTGATCATCTCTCTTCTAATCTTTCTCTTCTCTCTGCCTCTTCCCTGCTCTGCTTTTCATCTGTCCATGTTGTCGGAAGTTTGACTTCTAAACTTCCTTCGATTATATTATGTATATATATATATAATATATATTTATATAAGGGTTAATATAGGGTTAATATATTTAATTGTAACATTTTAAAAAAAGGTACTCCTGAGTTTGGTGGTGAATCATCAGCATCCCCATTAAAAGCCCATTTTTTACAGTATCTTTCGATGCGGCCACAGCAAAGTCAATTCTATACCATGATAATCGTTAACATATGTTAGCACGATATGTTGACATGATATGTTGACATGATATGATATGGTATGGTAATATGATATAACATGATATGATTCGGCAATTTGGTATTCGACATATTTCGACCTGATACGTGTTCAATCCCTGTGATCCTACACGCTACGTTGTAAATCAAAGGTATCACAGCCCTGGGCCGCCCACCTGCTCTTGGGCTTGGCTCAATGACCCATTCTTAATGGTCGCAAGGCTCTCTTCCTGTGGGGCTGCTACCGGGATGCGTCTCTTATAGGGTCTTCATCAGGACAACTGACATAAGAAGTCAGAAAATGTCCATGTCCACTAAATCTGGTGAGTCAACCAAACCCGTTCCTACTAAGGTGCGATGTTTCAGCTTGTTGCGATCCGTGGCCGAACCCGGGTGGAAGAATCAACCATCCTTTCCAAGGTGTGAAAATGGACAGAAACTCATGGGCAAACATCACCGGCTTTGAACAGGTGTTTCTTCTCCTAGTGTACAAGGATGTAGAACGCTATAAGATGGCATGAGCATGGACAAATCGTAAGGTCCCATTTTGAAACCAGGCAGCCGGCATCCCCTCCATCAAAAACGGTCGGACGAACCGTGATTTGCTACCATTGAGGTTCAGCAAATCAAAAAGAATTTGCCTTCCTGGTTTGCTGATAAATCCCCCTGTGGTAGATGGTCTGCCTACTGAAAAAAGGTCTGCCTAGTGCAAAAACGTGCTGAATTTCCCATTGCCAATGTTGATTACAAGAGTGTATCCATGAGTTGTCTAAAAATGGACGCCAAAATCCAGCGCATGGCTCGCATGATCATCCTTTCCCCCAACAGGTTCGACCCCAGTCCGCCTTGTCCGTGACCAAGTCTGCCATCGCAGCACGAGCAGCAGTCGATTGCTCCTGGCACGATGTTGATATGATGGCTATCTGAAACTATCACCATCATAGGAATCATAGGGGGATATCATGATCACTATCTATCCCCCTCATAAAAATTGTATTTACAAGCTATGCAGCCACAAACACTCAGCTTTTTCTTGAGCCATGCGGTAGCAATCATAAAACATATTACTATAGGACTACTACAAAATACCCCCCGCCGCCCGCAACGTAGTGCAGGCAGGAAGACGAGGAGGTAGTCCCATCGGACCTGAGACTGCGAGAAGGTCAAAAATGCTAACATGTAAAGTAATATGACTCCAGCTATCGCAAGAAAATTGAGTGAAGTTTAGCACGATGACAACTTGTAAAAGAGTGCACGGAAAATCAACTATACAATGCACAAAACTGCGAAACATCAAAACCCTCGGGTGCAAGGTCGAATGCATATCTTTTGGCACGGATGCGATCGGATGCACACAGCATGATGACATGGCCGGACTCCCGTCACGACTTTAATGCACATGACATTTGAAAGAGTCGAATGGACACATCAAGACACGCCTGTACAAAGCAATGCCCTAAAAATGATTACACATGGCCGGGCTTCCGCCACGGCTAAACTTCTACTACTAGCCATGGGGAAGATTGGCAAAAAATGTGCATCAAGGCAAAACTGAAAAACAAGTTTAATGAGATTGAACTCAACGACGAATGTAATGGATTTGAATTCAACAAAATTTCAAGCTGATATGTTTATAGCCTTTTACCAATAATCCCGCTCAACAGTGCCATCAGGGAAGGTGATCTCGGTGTACATGGTTCCATCGTCCTCCTCGACGACACGCTCTCTGATCACTCCATGGCTTGTGCAAGTCTCATGGGTCACGGCGTCGATGATCCTCGTGTTGCGACCAGGACGGTAGCTTGGAGGTGGGGGCCCAGCAGAAGATGATGCACCACCAGATGGAGGTGGAGATCGTTCACGTTCACGGTCAGCGGCATACCCTCCCGAGTAGCTACGTCCCTTGCCCTTGGCAGGTCCTTTCACATAGCCTTTCTCCGGGTATTGCCTTTGTAAACATAGTGCCCCTTGCCCCACCTTCGGTCTTCGTAGCCGTAATTCCATTGGCGCCAGCTGTCACGGTACTGCCACTGGTCTGCGTACCATCCTGACTGCCACGACTATACCCCCAAGCTCCTCATTGCTCTCGACGCCCACAATGAGCTCCCATGCTGCGGTAGGGGCAGTCCCTTTGCCAATGATCTTGGGCTCCACAACGATAGCAGCCTTCCTCGGGCTCATCGTACGAGGACATGCGCCAAGTCGTGGCTTCCGGGCGATACCTCTCAGTGACCCTCGGGTCAAAGTTGCGGCGTGGGTTGTCGATCAACCCTTCCGTCCTCACTGGACCCATGGCTGCAGGGAATGTCACGTCACTTGCCTCTGCTTCGGGCTCGTCCGTGTACACATTCCAATCGAGAGCACCGTGGTTATCTGTCCAGTTTTGGATTGCGAAGCTGACGAGGTCGTCATAGTTTTCTTTCAAAGGTTGTTCGTCGAGGACCAGAAGGCTGACTGAAAAACCAAACAAAGACGGCGCGGGTTCCCCTCGCGCTGGAGCCAATTTTGCAGTGTAGACTGCAAACTGAGCAAGTGTGTAAAACCTGCCAGAGTGGCGCATCGCTTCTTTGGATACATCAAGAGGAGTCGATGGGTCCCTGCCCTGCAAGGGCATGAAGACCAATCTCGTCTTGACGTCAGTTCCCTTGCCTTCCCTTCTGGCCTCGAATGTTCTGCCCACATCAGGGGAGATGCAACCACCCAAGCGGTGCAGGAAGTCGCAGCACGGAGGAGTGAGCTGCGCGATGCTACAGTTAGTTGTACATGAAGAAAGGATCATTTTCCATTCTCTCACGGATGGTTGCGAATCCAGTCTTCTTCAACTTCTTGACCTCCTTCTTTGCGCCATCCTTCATGACACCAAAGTTGGATCTGCCTGCCCGGTTTCTTTGGCGCGCCTCAGAGCCAGCTCGATGCTTTCTGGGTTGCACCTGGCTGACTTGACTGAGGGCAAAGACACCATGAATCTCAGCGGCACGGCTTTCCAACCGGCAAACTTCTGTAGCAACGCGATTGTCGCTCCATGCCTCCATCGACACGTAGCAGGAAGGACACTTGGCAGTTCCATCAAGCATGTTGTGGTCGCACTTGTCACACTTTCTGAAGGGAATTGTCGTTTTCTGGGTGGTGACACAATCTTGAATTTTCAGATTGTCAATCTTCATCTGAGTGATGACACCGGCCTTCCCTCCCGGGTGGCGACCCTTTCCTTTTCCCCGATTCTGGCCCCTCCCCTTCCCACGTCCTTCGATGACCTCAGAGTTGGAGACCGCCGCATAGAATCCAAACAAGTAGTTCTTCATCTCCTCGGGCTCAATGCCATCGGCAGCTTCCATGTCACGAATGACTCCTTGAAGGGGCTTGGGCTGGACCAGAGAAAAGAATTTTCCGGGCTCACTCCTGTCAGAAAGTTCGACCACTGCTCGAAGAGCAAGTCCATTCCTCTGCCGCGCTTGGACTGGGTGAGGGCCTGAATGACATCATCTCCCTCGTCCTTCGATCTCTTGACCCGTTCGTTGTAGCTTTGGCGTCCGGCAGCATATGCTCTATTCGACCAATAGAACTCCCGTTCGGCCGCATTATACACGCAGATGATGGTCTCGTTGGGGATCCAGTCAGGAGTCATGATGGCTTCGTCCGTCCTGAACAATCTGGCCCGTGGCCCCCACCTGCATGGCCATCTCCACGTCAATCGCTACATAGTATGGCTTCCCGGCTCGCGTCCCCGCGAGCTTCTTCATGTTCGCATCCCATGGGTGCGTGGCAATGAAGTAGCTGTGGGCGCGTCCTGAGGAACGTGGCCACCCTCCCGGGATCAAGCCGTGCTGGATGATCTGCGACACAACCCCCTTGTCACATGAGTGGTAGATGATTCTGGGGAAGTTGTCGAACTCCGGGATCAGGTCTGGCCGAAAATTTGCCCTGGGAATGTCTCCCGTGTCAACCTTCTCCTTCGTGAAGTCCGGATCCAAGGTGTAGAGGTCTCGGATCATGGGAGCAAACTTGCCCTGCTTCAGCACGAAGGTATTGTGTCCTTGATAGGCACGGACACGTGTTGGCTGCCACGGCAAACCCTTCCAGGTTGCTTTCTCGTTGTCGGGCTTGCACACCTGCAGTTGGAATCTCCTGGTGTCACTGCTTCGAATGACCTGGAGGATCTCCCAGTCGACGACATTCCGGATCTTGTTGCACAAGTGGTTGCGGAGCTCCACCCAGTCCATCGACAGATTGGTGAAGTCCATGTCGGGCGACGGAAGACCATCAGCAAGTGCATGCCCACAAAGATACTTCGACATTTTTCCTGAGATTTCACGGAGACGGCCATTGGCATTGATGTTCTTGTATGGGATCCTGCTGTTCAAGTCGTTTGGATCAAGCCACACAGAATCTTCAAGCCTCTCCTTCGCCTGTTCCAACTTGAGCTTCGCAGCATCATCGATCATCCCAGTCGGAGCCTTAGCAGTGTGATGGCTCAATGGCATTTTCTTCACCTCTGGCTTGGGCTTGTTCGATGACGATGCAGGTTCATCAACATTGGCAGGCCTCCCGGCGAGCTTTGACCCCTCAGCTGTGACAGTGTTGTCGGCAGCGGCGACTGTCTCAGAAGTCTTGACGTCACCTTCCGTCTTCGCAGCATCAACAGGCACAGGGTCCCCCCCCGGCAGCAGCCTCCTCAATCTCAGGCGCCTTGGACTCTTCAGTCGTGACCTCAACCTCAGGGCAGCCGGTCTCTGGCTCTTCAATCACCATGACATCGCCCAGAGCGTCGGCATCGTCCTTGGTCTCGGCCACGTTCTTGTCCACGTCCATGGCGTCATCCGGAATCAAGACGGCCTCGGGGAACTCATCAACGACTTCAATTCCATCATCATGGTCGGCCCCATAGTCCACCTCGGTGTGACCCTCGACATTGTCTTCTCGGTCAAAAACGTTGTGAACAATGTCGGGGCGAGTGTCGTCGATGGTCTCCCACTCGTCAATTCCTGGGATTTTGTCGGTAGCTTCACTGCGTACCGGTGACCAATCGGCATCTGCTGCGTCGTCAAAATCGTCCTGAAGATGTTGTCTCAGACGAACTTCTTCTTCATCCGAGTCCACATCGTCTTTGAAGACAGGGACAATGGATGTCAAGTCACCCTCACTGAAATCATTCGCTTTCGGCGCACCCTCCCGGGTGGCTTCATCCTCAGCAACTTCGTTCAACTCGGCCATGTAGTCCATGATCTGCTCATCTGCAGTTTGGGCTTCTTGTGCGAGAGAAACAGGAAGTGCCACAGGATTGAGAGCCTCCCGAACCTGGGTCGTCTTGGAAAGGGCGAACTTGAACTGTGCCAGATTGGGGTACTGGTACACAATCTTCATGCGTTCTTCTGGGTCAGGATCAAGCAATGATGCCTTCTGCCTCAACACAGGTTCCAATTCTTCAATCTGCATGACAATCAGATGCGCCCTGATCATTGACCTTAAGAATTTGATCATGAGGGTTCGATTAATGGGCAGGTCAGTCATATGGAGGCGATCGTACCTGATACTTGCCATCGAGGGCATACATGTCGACACATATCGAATGCCTCCAGCAATGAGGTGTTCGAAACAGCGGCCCATCTCGATGCCATATGACGGCGGAAGACCATAAGCATCTGCGTCTCCACAGCCGAAGACGACAATGTCACGGATCATCGTGTGACGTCGCATCTTGATGATCTCGTCCATTGCATTGATCACCCGTGCATGTTGCTTCTCTGCAAATTCGGCAGCGACCTTCCGGTCGGCAGGCGTCTTGTTGTAACGGGCTTGATGGATCCAATTGCATCCACGGTATCCATAATAATCACCGTACACATCATTGCCTGCCCAACCAATGAGGACGAGCGTTGGGATTTGGGGAATTCCTTCAGCAGTACACTTGGCAGCAATTTCATCCATAGCTTCCCAAATTCCTGTGTGGATGGAACCTAGCCCCTTCCCCCAATGCATTTTCCAATGGACTTTGCGCACACCAGTAGGCGGCGATTGTGCAAGAATCTCCCCCAAGCTGATCACCTTTCGCTTCTTGGGATCATCTGGATAATCAACCATCACCAATCACAAGCACATCGACCTCACCTTCCGGCGGGCAGTCCACATGGCCAAAGATGGCCTGGGGAACTGTCTCAAACAGCTTGAGGATACCCTTGTAGGACTTGAAATTCTTCTCGAAGTCCGAACAAAGGCACGTATCAATGACAATGTCCACCGGCTGCTGGCTCCCGCCGAGCGTCTGAACTCCTGCAATGCCATCTTCATAGGCGACAGACACGCAAGAGGACCTCAACTCCTTCAGACGGCTCTCCCATTGAACAATCCGCTGATACACCGAGACCTTCTCATCGTCAGGAACCCAGTTGGTCAGCGTCTCCGCGTTCTCGGGAGGTCCAGCCATGACAGTCAGAGGACAAAGGCGAATCGCGACAAGCGAGTGGTGAGCTTCAAAAGTAGCTGATCGAAAGACAGAGTGAACAAGGTCCGTCATGATGAACGTGTACCTTTCGGTTGCCTTAAGATCTTTGCCTCTTCTTTGAACGTGTTCATGTGAGTGGTCACATTGGAACTTGGATAGCTCACACCCCAATGATAGCAAGTTTGTGGCAATGGTCCAAGGCTTTTTAATTGGGATTTCGTCTTTGTTTCTTATTCCGACCATACATCCATGAAAATTGAATGCAATCAGTTGTCTTGAGTTCATGAATTGTGCAACTTTCCTCAACTTCCAGTATCGACAATTTCGGGGCCATTCAATCGCAATAAACACCTTCTTCTTCAACGATGACATGAATTGTAGGAAGGCTTTCCAAAGTCCATGAAAAATCTTGACATGTCTTCTGACTTTGGCCGCAGCTGAGGGATGTTTAAGGTTCACATATGACCATGATGTTCCCCCCGTGCACGGTATGCTAACACAGACAAGTACTTCACCATCAAACTCATTGATTTGTCGGGCCATCTCCTTCCTTACATTTGTGTGGAAGAGATCATTCTTTTCGGCGAATTGCAAGACATGGCAACCCTTCGATACTTCCCGGGATTCACTCAACTTGGACTCCTCGTGGCAACAGACCTCCACCAGTAATCGATTAGGCTTCGGACCGGCTCGGAGTTCCCTCGAGCAGCCAGGTGCAGCAGCAGCCTGATTTGGTCCAGTGGCTTTAGAATCATTGTTCTTCGGACCCTTAGGGATGACTTGGACATGGGACAATAATGCCAAAGCAAATTTCCATTTTTCGGAATTAGCGAATGGCTTAGTAAGTATGTCCGCAGCCTGCATCATAGAGGGTCCAATGGCAAGTTTGTACCACCGTCTCTTGAACTGCTCACTTAACCAAGATAAGTTAACCCGTTGAGTTTTGTCGGTATGCCTGAAAGTTGGGGACTTGCCATTTTCCAATATTCTAATTGTTGCCTGGTTGTCCTCAACAAAAACTCCTTCAAGGCTCTTTGGGGGACATAGGGAAATCATATTTTCACCCATTCTTTCCATGCCTATGAATTCCCAATCCGTGAGTGCTTCTCTGAGCTCGTGAGACTCCACATTGTAGTCCACCTCGTACGGGCCGTAGACCCTGAAGTAGGTCTTGCCCTCCCAGACATCTCCCGATGTAGAACTTCGACCCTGTCTCCAATGATCCTGACGGAAATCGATGCCATCCTTGGTGACCATCAACGTCGTCCTTGCATTGCCAAGGCGATGGATTGGTAACGGAATTGTTTTGCTGGATGTTGGATCAAACAAGGATGATCTACTTTTGGGGTGCACTCTCACTAGAAGCCTTCGGTGCCTAATAAATTCCCAGTACTCACCATCTCTTTCTGTTTGGGTGGTAATTGAAGTGTTCGGCAATCCTCCCGGAGTGCTATGCTTCTTGGCCTCATCCCCCCCCGCGTTCTGGAGGTACGCCCATAAACCGGAGGAAGGTAGACCTACAGCACGCAGGGATATGTTTGCTGCAACTACTTCAGATTCAGTACTGGACATTGACACGGATGTTTGCTTCTTGGAGAACGCTGTTAATGGGAAGTACGTATTTGGCCCAATTGGTACAAGGAAACAACCGGTAGTACTACGATTATCGTATTCCCCGGCGTGGTCTGCATCAGCAAAACACCACAGACGGCACTTGCACAAAGGATCACCTATGAAAGCCTTCAACCTCACATCTATAGTTGAATCAATGTAACAGACAAGTCGATGTAATGCCCGGTCGCAATCAGCCGACCATTTCGTCACTCGAGCTGCTAAGCCTTGAACGGCTCGAAGTAAGTCGTACCTTGCCATTCTAGCTGCGAATAATATCTTCATTAAGACTCTAGCGGCTATAGGGGCAAGTACACCCTTCTTTTCGGACTCATCTGTGACGGGCCTAGCTATTCGTTCTTCATGGAACGGCGTGGCAACCTTTTTCATCGGCTTGGCATCCCTACCAGCTAGTTGAACATATCGATCAACACATGATTGTAGGAAGGGCTTCATATCATACAACATGACTGTGACTGGTTTAGTCATACATGGTTGGTCTTCAAATAGTTGGTCCAAGTATGAGAAACCTTGTGCTCTGGCTTTCTTTTTGGCTTCACCTTTGTCCCTCTTAATTGATGCCAGTGCGGCCTTAGGATCAGCACAACCCTTTGTAAAGATAAGTTGCGCCCACCCACATGTTGGCATGCTCCTTTCCCTGGGTTAACTTGCTTGACTCATCAACATATTGATCCCATTCAGGAACGGCGTCACCTTCCGGTGAGCTGAACATTGCATCGGTACAACGGATGCTTGACAACTCACAGTCTCGGATGACATCTTCATCAGGCACATAGCAACCCTTACGGGGTTGGCAGTGGTGTCGGATGTATACCCCTCGTCCTGGCTCGACTTCCCAAAAGTCTTGTGTCCTGTGCGCTGCGGCGGCGGATTTCGCGGCCGGGTCAGGCAGGGACTTGTCAAAAAGGTAGGCAAACGGATGATCATCTTTAGAAAGAAAAACATTCTTTTCTTGAACATGATCGCAACCAAGATATCGATTAACTTGCCCGGGTGTGTCCATGTCAATCTTGGATGCAATGAGTTTCCAGCCCTTCGACATTGACTCTATGGGTCCAGCCATTTTGAAGTCATCAACATAAACCACTAACAGAAGCTTAAGCTCAGGGTGAAAGAACACTGACGGCCAGCCTTCCGGATCTGGCATTATGAATCCCAGCTTGGAGCATCGCTTCACAATGGCGCTCCCAAAGACCCGGCGAATCGGGGTGCCCGTACAAGGCGATTCTTAATAATACCACAGGCCTTACAAATCTTCCAACCCAGTCTTTAGGCCACCGATCACGGGGAATTTCAACCCATGTCTCAATCCCCTCCATTAATGCTTGAGTGTATGCTTGTACTCCATCATTCTGTTCAGCTGTATGGCCCGGTTGGGATCCATATGCATCGACAGATTTACCTGCTTCCATGGTAGCTGGAGATGATCCTAACTCCGAAAACAAAGCTGTGTCAGAGTTTTCATCCATTACATTGTTACCCTGGAAAACAGTTCTCCCTTTAAACTTCCTAAGTTTATGACCCTCTGGGAGTTCACTGCCCTTTTCAACACAGATCTCAAACACCTTGCCAACATGAACCTTCTTGCCGGATCTCTTGGCCTTATCTGAAACAGTCTTCCATTCGGCTACCGTGTCATATAACCAGGCCGTCTTCTTGACCAGCTTATTACATTCCACATCCAATGCCTCTTGGGCTTTGGGGCTGGATCTGATCTCGTTTCGGTTGACGGGTCTGGCTACTAAGGTATTGATAGCCCTTTCACCACTTTGAATACTAACCCTGGCTAACTTAACACGATGCCGTTGTTCAGATTAGGCACAAGTAGGCATGATGGGTACATCACATTCTTCATATGCGTTGTGGAGTTGATTGATGATGCTTGTGACTCCGGGTTTCTTCTTTTCAAGTCTTTTCAATTCGGCCTCGGATCTTGCCTTGAGTTTCTTCTCGGCTTCCTTGGCGGCGATTTTGACCTGTTCCTCCCGGATGGCTTCACGTCTGGCCTTGATAGACATTGCTTGCCAAACAAAAGGTGGAATGTCCTTAGGTTTACTGGACTTGTTGTACTTTCTAGCCTTGAATCCCCCCGCATCATAGAAAGTGGGATCATCTTTCGAAATCTTTTCAACCTCACCAGTCTTTGGGTTAATGACCTCAACGAGATTATCACCCTCCTCGATGGGATCTGGGATAACTTCTGGAGGCTTCTCACAAAGTTCAATGGGTTCTTTAGAGAAGATGGTGGTCATCACCTCACATGGAAGTGTTCCCGGGTGGATCAATACTCAGATTGGATTCAAGCACATGCCATACACCATTCAACTTATAGCAAGTAGTCCTAAAGGGAAATTCTTCAGTTTTGAACTTGCTAGTAGGCTCGACAAAATTCTCAGAAAATTCTTTGACATTTATGTGGGCATCGGCATATTCGTACCAACCCTCTCTGTTGTCAACATGTCTGAGAAAACCAAGCCATCCTAGATTATAGACAGCACTTGCACTTGATGATTGAGGCATTTCCCCATCTTCAATCTGTTTTACAGTCGGCTCTGGCTCCCGCGCAGGCTTTGCATCTTGATCGGAGAGGTCATGGTCGACCCCATCA